AGGAGTTTGCGCTCCTCCTTTATTTATTAAAAAAAGTACAGCTGGGGGACAAAATAAAACCGTGGCACCAAATGCTAATCCTGCTATAGTGACCTCAGCACTGAACTTGAAACTAGAAACTTCTGTGCCAGCTTTATCAGACACCTGGTCTGGGGTACTGAGTAAATTACATGTGACTGGATTAAAGTTCTGCATTCGTATTCCTAAACCTGGATCATTAATACACACACACTGAGTCTTGTTCTATATCCAAATCTGGGCAAGGTTTTCTTATTCTCTGAAACATTATGCAGGCAACAGACATTTCTGGAGCAAGAGACGGTTGTTAGAAGCTTGGGAATTTTGGAAAAGTGGTCAGTTCAGTAAAATAGCACCAAAATTTTTTAAAAATAATTAGGTTCTTTATTTCTTTGAAAAAGAAAAACATTCTTTCTCTGTTTTTGCTTACTTGCAGCTGAAGTTCGGCAAAGGATAAAGGCAAGAAGGTTCTTTCCAGAACTGAATCCTGCAGAAATTGTGTCTAAATCAGCCAGAGTTAGGACTGAGCAGCTGACTGAATTCTAATTTCTACAACCAGATGAATAATTTAATGCACACTAACATCAACACCTAGTAAATGTTTATTTAATCTTGTTTCCTTTTTCTTAATTTCTGCATTTCTCTGGATGAAACTACTCAAATTCAACCGGCTTTCCTTCATATTTTTAATACAGACTTTGATGTCTTTTTGAGAAAATGCTTTGTCAGGAAAGAAATGTAAGTGCACCATTTTCAACAAAATTTCATGTAAAGCTGGGTCAGCACCTCTGAAGAGAGCTTGTGTTGGAACAGCAGCTATTCCTTCAGTGCAGCTGTGCTTTTTCTGCTTGAGAACATTGTGGAATCATTTGCCATTGGGTCATTTCTGGGCACTCTCAAAAGATGTGCAAAAGAGATTGGTTTCAACCCAAAAGCTCCATACTGGAATGCTTTTGTTTCCTTCCTGCTACAATTAACTAAGATGTTTCGTAATGCTGAGCTCTTCCAAGCCAAGAATGGCTTTTCCCTTCATGCAGTGGTTGTAAACTAAGGTCTACTTTGCACTCAGATGGTCTCAAAACTTGCAACAACAAGGAGCTCCTGATCATCCGGTGAAAAAAAGAAGACAGACTTTGATCAACTCATCCAGGCACAGCTGTTACTCATCCTTTAGGTTTTCACTAAACTCCACCTTTTGACCTTTAAAATCAAGGATACGGCTAAGGTCTCGTAGGCCTGTGCTGAACTATCTTGGAAGATGGAAGTGATATGAAAATCAGGTACCTTCAATGTGAGGTTTAAATCAGTGGAGAATAAGCCCTTCAGTGGACTACAAAGTATGTGAGCCTTATGACTAATCTCCATGGAGACATTGCTCCTTTTTGAATTCTTTTAGGAAAATAGAATGGAATTTGATAATTTCTTGTTTTTACAAAAGCACCACCAACATACTGTTTGCCCTTCTTCTGGTGTTGGATCAGCCATTAGAATCAAGTATAAGTGAATGAAAACAAACTTCTGTGCAGGAATAGGCTGGCTACCTCAGGTGTCTGCATCCCCCCTTATCCCCAGGCTGCTGATAAACCAAAAGTCTTGAAGAAGGAGAAGGTTTCGTTCTTTTTATCCTTCACGGCTCAGACTACAAAGCATATATTTAATCTATGGTGATCACTCTGTATGAAATAGAAGTACCTCTTCCCATTCTTCCCCCCAATCTGTGTTCACCATCTCGTTTTGCTGTGAGTACAGTTGTCAGGCTTTTGTTTGCAATCACCAGGCAAGTAACCTCACAGAAACAAGCAAACACTCAATTCAGTTCAATTACCCTGAGTTTCCATTAATTGGCTGGCTAAAGTGAAATACTTCTCCTAAAACAACTCACAACCTGCAACTGAACATTAATGCAGGGAGCACTCTCTCTGCTGAAGATGCTTGTCACTAATGAGCCTCAGGCTTCTTGCATAAGCCAATTTCCCATTCCACATAGCAATTATGTAAATGAAAGTGAAGTTCTTGATAACCTTCATCGGTTCCACTTGTCTCATAATTAAAGAAAGGAAAAGCCTTAAAAAAGTTCATTTCAGTTTGAGGAAAGAACTGGCTACCCAGACTAAAAAATAAAAATAATTTTTTAGAAAGGACAATTTAAATGGGCTTTCCTCTTTATCCCAAAAGACAACAATAAATGGATGAAAACCCAGCTACAAATGATATTGTTCAAAGCATTTACTTCATTATGTGTAGCCACTCAATTTCCTGTTGCAGCCAACTGCTGCCGAAAACAAACACTGTGCAATACACACAGTGAACAACATTCTAGGTTAAATCTATTGGACATGACATGAAAGCCTTCAAATCCATCATGTGAACATTTTTACGGCCTTCACCACATTTTCGCAGAGCGAGTTCTCCACCTTTATCCCTCACAATGCTTGTTGTAGATATTGTTCATGTCTCTTTTGCAGGTGGGAACCTGAGGCACAGCATGACTTGGACCTGTTTCCTCAGGAGTATTGAATATAAGTCAATGTAAATAAGGCCTTTGAGGGACTTGGAAGATCTGAATCTAAGTGTCTTGTCTAACATTGGAGAGGAAGGAAAGTTGTTGGAGAGCAGGAAGCAGAAGCCAGATCTCACAGTTCAGCAACAGTATGGACTTCCTGTTCTCTTTCTCTTTCCCTGGTATTATAGCAACCTCTATTACTAGAAATCAAAAACCAAAACAATCTGCAGTTTAATTTGGTTTCATTAAAACTTAAAACCCAATTCATCAATAAAAAATAAAAATTAAAAAAACTCCAGCCTTCCTACTATAATCCACAAATAAAATGAATTCATTATAGAAGTCTAAACCTCTGCTTTTGCTCCCTGTGTGCAATGCTAGTACGAAAGTACACAGTATTTTCTTGTATCCTGTTAGAGATCCTTTGTAATCTCTTCTAATCTAAGCTTGAGACTCTGAGCTCTGGTGAGTGTATTTTCAATCAAATATTATTATGTCTAGTAACATGAAAATCTTTATTGTGTTATTTGTGCCAGAGATTTTTCATCTCCCACAAATATAATCCTTACTTTATTAGTGGCTGAAAGGAGTTATTACACTACTTCCCACTACCTAAGAGGGAGGGAATTAACCCTTGACATTTCTGAGGAAGTCGCATGGTGAAAACTCAAATCCTGACTTCCACACACTTCTTAGAACAGAGCCTACTGGTGAGGTTCCCCAGATCCATCTCAGTATCTGTATAGCCTCTTGGTTGCACCCACTAGCCTTGAATACAATTTTTAGGGTGGTATTTTTCATATCTCATTTTAGTCACAGAAAAGGCAGGCAAGTAATTTGATTTTTTCTTTTTATGTCAGTGTCAAGAAATCAAAACCTAATAGCAGGAAGTTGCTGTAACCTAAAATGCATCCTTCAGACATGTGGAATGAAGTCCTCCCAGTGTTACTTATGGGGGAAACTTCCTCTATAACCTTAGGCTACTCAATCTGTCTGTACCACTAAGATCATGTGAGAAACCCCCATTCCTCCTCCTGAGATTGTGAGTTGAAGTCCACTGTTAAGAGCAGCAGACAGAGATGCAGGAGATGATTCAGAGCTATGAGACATGGCAGAAAATGTGCCTGCATATGCAAAACTCAAATCTAAAGCAAATTGATATTCACTTTTGTAAATGGTTCCTAGGTGAAATGTAAGATAAGGGATAACAGATGGATAGACATAAATAGACAAATCCAGGAAATTACAGGATGATATTAGTCACCATGACTGGAGCTACTCTCAGCACAACAGTAGGCTGAACTTGCATGGTATCTTCATCTTCACCAAGGCATCATTCCTGTAGGAAAACCTTATACTATTCAGGTAAAGAGCAGAGGTTCAGGGAGAACCTCACTCGGTATTTCCCATTATTTCCCTGGATAAAACTTGACCTCTAGTTAGACTGTTTTCCAGCTCCTGAAGATGAGCTTGCAGACAAAACCACAAAATTTTCAGCCTATATCTGTGCAGGGCTTTTTTGGGGGTCTTTTGGTGAAAGTTATGGGAAATAAACTTGGCATGATACCAACGACTGCACAAGAGAGAATGGTGCAAATACTCCTAAGATAACAACCAGAAAAATTCTATCAGAGCAAGAGGCAGGATGAGTAATGTGCAACATGCTGACGAAGAGACACAGCACAAACACACGCTCTGAGGAGGTAAGTTAGTTCAGAGAAGGCATTTATTAGGTCACAGAATGTACCAGGACAAAGCCAGGCTAAAGATCTTCAATATGTTTTTGTGCTTGGCAGTATAGACATAAGCTCTTTTTTACCTCACAAGAATTTGGCCTCAAAGCTGAGTTAACTCACAGCAGTGAGACATGTTGAGATGTGCAGATGGAAAGTGCTACACAGGAGTGGCAAGACCTAGTAACTCTTAATGAGCAAACACCAAAAATCATTAATGGATGTATCTGAGCTGTTTAAAATAAAATAGGAGTTTTTTTCTCCCATTTTCATAGGTTTGCTCTGTTGCTTCTGAAGATAAATGTGTATCTTTCTCTGTACCCATGACAGAAATTAAGCTCAAGTTTCCCAGAAAGTTAAAGAACATTGCCCAGTAAACAGGAAGGTGTCACCTGCCTAAGAACAGCCCAAAGGTGAAAAAGGTATTAAAGAGAAAAACTCCACTGAAGCAATATCTGGCTGTATATATTATGCTACTTAGGTACTGTGCAGAAGGGATGTAGCTAAACTGATGGGGGAACTGATTTTTGCTGTTTGAGATTTTAAACTCCTTTCCCCTGAACAGCCCTTAACTGCACACTCATCTCAGCTGGTCTCTGTTTCATATTCACAACAAACTGTGTGTCCAAGCTTTGATGAACACAGAGGGTCATGGAGCAAGTGGAGCAGTGCAGTCTCCTGCCATGGGGTGTCAGCCTGAGCTCCAAGGAAGCTCTGCATTCATCTGTGCTCAGCATGTGACTCACCTTCTGGACCCGGATCCAGAGGTGTCCACCAGACGCGCTGAGAGGTGTCTCCCATGTTGGAGTTCAGGTGAAATAACAATAGCTTTAATGTGTATGTAAAAGAAGTAGTTTTATATTTTCCTTTCCACAGAACAAGAAAGAAGGTCCTAGACCCCTTCTGCACTTGCTTTCTGTGCCACCTACACTGGAGTGCTGAGAGCTGACACCTCCCACCACAGTAACCCTCATTTCTTGCTGTGAAGGACTATAGTATAGTGACACTCCAGAGCCAGTGGCTGTATTCAGACAGTCAAAAGCAGAAATTGGTTCATTGATGAAGATTTTCCAAAAGCATATTAGCAAGTTTTGACAGGTTAATGTGTAGAGATTTGGGGACAAATATGTCACGAGCAGAATTATTCTCCTAATTTTTTATGTGGTACAGAAGCTACAATGATGTTGCAGCGTACTTCAATTTCGGACATCAACCATATTTAAAAACCTCCCACTTAGGATCAAACTCAGTGGTTTTAATTACATTAACAGATTCCCAGATTACTGTTATTACTGCGACTCATTGCACAGTGCAGAGTGGAAGTAGTAGGTCAAACATTTCCCTTTTTGGATCCGTTGTATTACTCCCTAAAATGTAAACCAACCACAAAAAGTTTCAAGACCATAGATAACGATGTACTCTCCTACACTGTCACCTATCACAAAAAAAAAAAATCAGAGCTCTTTATATTAAGTAATTGAGTTTCACAATATCCTTATGATACAGATACAATTAACCCCATGACACACACATGGGGAAACTAAAACAGGGGGAGGCTGATTGCTCAAGATCAGAGCTGGGAAAAAGAGCCCAGCAATCACATGAATTAAGGACTAGTAAACCCTTCTGGGTCCTCAGGTCCTCCACAGACATACAGCTCAGTGCTACGAGACTCAGGGGGTTTGTTTCTGTTAAGTTCTACCCTCGGGTTCTGCTTTTGATATTCACTGGCTTGAGTGAGTCCATCAAACACAGAGTGTCGGACATATACACTGGGTACTATCCATATGTGTCACAACCTCATTTTTTGGTGCTATTTAACCAAATGAAGTATCAGTAACACAGAGATCTTCTCTACACTATGATTTTGATTGAGTTTTTTTTGTAAAAGAAACAAATGCTGAAATAATTCTTGGGAACCTAAGTATGAGTAGCATGACTGTTTCTTCTAACATAATGAGAAAAAATTATTCTTATTGTTACGGAGTTTATATTCTGTTTATATAATATATAATTTTTTTCTAATTTACTTTTTGCTTGGTCTGGTTTGTTTTTTTTTTTAATATCAGCTTTTGATACTAAGAGTTGATGCCTGTTTGGTAATGTGCAATATCATTTCTTCAAGATGGAAAATCAGAAGATAGAGCACCATCCCTCATTTACATGTTTTTCTTCTAATGCTGCACTTTCTACATTATCTGCAGCATTATAAAATAGTCTTGTGAAACAGATCTCTCAAAGTCATAGCCTGCAATGCTACAGTAAAAAATTATGGCCCAGAGTGGCTGGAGACTAAGTGATTTTATCACTTTCTATACTGACACAAAGATGTAGTGAGTTAACTACTCTGCTGATCTCCCCACCACATGCAGCCCTTGGAGGCACATTTAAATGGTATGATTTCAGAGAGTTTATGATCCAACCAGTGGAGGGGGTTGTGGGAGCAAATTTTGAATGCTCATTATGACTTCCCGGGGGCCCCTGGTGGTCTAGTGGTTAGGGTGCAGCACTCTCACTGCTGCGACCCGGGTTCGATTCCCAGCCCCCC